GGCTGAGGCAGAACTTAGTACAAAGATGCACGTTTTAAGCCATAAGTGTATTTTACTGCTGAAATAACATTGTGATAGAGTAGGGTTTTGATCAAGTGGAGCTTGTGTTTAAGAAAAAAGTGTGTTTCCAAAGGAGACCCCATAGCTTACCAAATGTAGTAGAACACAGCCCAAATTACTGGGTGAGATACTGCAGCCCGTGTTAGGCTACTTAAGCACTTCATTTTAGCTTTAAATCTGTAAATGCATGTGTGCCTTGCTGTTAAATGGGCTATTTCAGGAGAACATCATGTCTCTGTGTGTACAATCAAGGATCACACAAGAAGAAGGGAACCTCATTTAGGCAGGGCAGTGTGGGAAGTGTTCAGCTGTTAAAACAGAAAATGATGGTTTCCAGGGCTTTTAACTGGTTATTCTTCAGGTCGTAGAAATTGCTGCAGAAAATTAAAAACCTTGAAAGCTTATCATAAAGAGGCTTGATTCAATGAGACAAGTTTTATAGAGCTGTGGTGCTAACTCTATGACTTCCTTAGAGGTTTGAAATTACATCTGGGCAAGTTGCTCTAAGGTATGAATTGGAAATTAGAATAAGGTGGGCTTTTTTGTAGTAAAGCACCTGCTTTACTTGGTGTTGTAGTGTTTCCGGAATAGCTTATTGCAGACTGCTGTTACTGTATTCTTGTCTTTCTGTATAAGCAGCAAGTGCCTTTATTGAACACTGGGGGTCTGATTTTTTTGGGGTAGGTGCTTTTCAGCAAATGTTTGAACTTTGTGGGGTGAAAGGTATCAGGTCATTTTTGCCCCAATTGCAAAAGCAGCATGGCTTTGGTCGCTTGGATCCATTCACATCTCCTAATTTCCTTTTGCTCCCCAGCCCAAAAGATGAGATCTGAGGTTTTGCTGTTAGTTCCTGTGGCTCTCAGCACAAGCAGCTTCCTTCAAGTGCATCACTGAGTGGGGCAGTGAGTTCCTTTGCTTTGTGAGGCTGCTTTCAGGTTGCCACGTGAGGTGGTGGCATCCAGCATTGGGAAGATTGCCACTTCGGTTAGGTCATTGCTGGAAAGGACTTAAATAATGCAGTGCGGTTACCTAGAAGTTTCCCAAGATCTCTGTGGGATGCTGTGCATTTTGGCAAAGTTGTGTCCAAGTGTGTTCATGTCCAGCTTGCTGCTTAGCAGAAAAAGAACCATTTTTTGCATCATTTTCACTGCACTTCTCATTAGCGGGCTGTTAAAACTCTATGAGGCGGAGCGGCCTCTCGGGGATGTTTGAGCCTCATAGAATGAGACACAGCTCTGGGAAGCTCATTACCAGCAAGGTGGAGGCAAACAGGAGGGAGTGGGGAAACCACAGCAATTAGTTAGGGCTGAGTTTTGAGCAGCGATGAGATAAATGGATTGCATGTCTTGAGCAGCTGATGAAAGCAGACCTCTCGCAAGGTGGGTCATGGTCTTGGAAGTGGGAAATGTGGCAGGCTTTGTCAACCCTCAAACACAGAAGAACAGCACTTTTCTGTGGATTCTTAAGTGTGTGTAAGTGCTCTGTTGAAATTACAGGTGTGCTGAAGTGTTGTGAGCTGCTAACCGAATCAGTGCTAGCTCCAGAGCAGGGGATGTGTCAATAAGAAGATGCTGCTTTCTTATCAGCTGATTCCCTTTAGTTCAGTGTGGCTGTTCTCAAAATGCACCAGGTCCCTTTGGGATGAGGTCGGCTCTGTGGAAGTGGAAACATTGATCATTGAGTTGTATTTTATTTGGTGCGGGTGCACAGCACTTGTCAGACAGTGCTGTGTACCTAATGGGGAATTCAAATTCCAGCTGGTAGATTGAATCCAAAAGGCAGAGCTGTGGGATAGGAAGGGGCAGGCACGAAATGCTGAGGCTCCTAATCCTTTACAATATGTTTGTTTAATATAAAGTGGTCTGCTGAGATTGTTTTGCCGTGTGGAATAATCATTATGTGCTGACTAATGGGAGACAGCAAGCTGTTAAAGAGCATCAATTAACCATACAGGAGGGATGTTAGTGATTGTTTTCACCAGTCTTCAGGATGTGAAGAATAAAGAACATTACTGGAAGGCAACCCCCAGAGATTTTTAGCTATTCAAATCTACAAAGAGCAGAAAGTTTGTGAAGATGTATGGGGTTACAGAATTTACCTTTACCAGGAAGAGCAATGCAAAGAATAAATTGAAGTGGCTCTCCAGATTGCCCTGATATGACAGGAATAGCACTTTGCTAAACTTATCCTCTTGTTTCATATTCATTAGTTGAAAATTTTCTTACTGAATTCATCTAACATCATTGTTCCAGGAAATGTTGGTCCTCTTCACAGTAGACAGCATGTGCAGTGCCTTTCTGATGCTGTTTCCCTGGCTGCTGTCCTTGTCCTTACCTCTGCTATTGCTTCAGTACAGTAATTCCTACCTCAGCTGTTTCTGCAGTGAGTTAAAACTCAGTGCACTTAATGCTGAAAGGAGTGTACTCTTCCATCTTGTGTCTTGCTCCATGGGTAATAACATTCTCCACCTTTGGCTGGTGTGAAAACCTACGTTTCATTAGCAATACCTTATGCATCCCTAGTAGCATTCTGCCTGAGTTTAATGCAAAAAAATAAATAGCATTTTGTGGACTCTGTTTGCGTAGTGATTTTGTTCTGCGTAAGACTTTCCCCATCCTGCATTCCAGTGTTAAATCCACTCTGTGCAAACTTCACTTTCCATTTCTTTAATTCAATTTTGGCAATGGGGAGTGCAGATAACATGGAATTTATTTTTTCTGTTTTGCTTCTTCTGAGTTGTTGTTAGAGAACTGAGCTGCAGATACTCTTGTAGCCAGCAGTGAGAGGTGCCCTGGGATTCAGCGGGGATTATGATAAAGAGAGACCCTTGGTTCTTGGACAAGGGCAAAGATAGACTTCTCTGCTTCAACTCTATTCAAATGCTTTAATCGGCAGAGGTCTCCTTTAACAGATGGCTCTGCATCGATAAAGCCTTTAGCAAGTTAGGAAAAATTCAGAGCAACTTATTTCTTTTCTGACTTGATTGATTTTCTTGATCTTTGTTGAGGGTGGGGAGGGATAATGCATCAGAAGACTCTGGGGAGGATTAATTACTTGGCCGCAAAAGACATGAAGATATTCTGATAAAAGACTTGGAATGAATGAATGAAGCCCTGGCTGCCCTGGTGTCAGTGGAGGAGTTTAGCAGTGCCTTCAGCTCTGGCTGATCTCTGTTGTTTCAGAGGGATACCAAATATCTCCCAGCTTACAGAGAACTGGTCAAAGCCCTAACACATGAGATACCAATATCTTAATGCAGATCTGTGGATTTAAAACCCCGAGGAGGAGTTCAGCTTCACTCCTGGCCAGGGATGGGAGGAGTGCAAGGGATGTCATTAGTGCCAAGTTGACCTGATCTGAGCTTTGGCCAAAGGATTCATCCTTGGAGCAGCAGTGGCGCATTTCATGGTTCATTATCCTCACAGTCGGTAACGATGTCTTATTCTGAAGCTGAATATCTAGTTCATGTTTCCATCCATTTGATCTTCTTATTCCTTTGTCAGCAAAGTCTGGTCTCTCACCTCTATCTTTTTGACTTTTAGGATCTAAAACAAGTTATGTCTCTGCATGAGTGAAATAGCTGGAGCTCTTGAAGTCTCACAATATAAGGCATGTTTTCTGGGCTGTGAGTCATTGGGTGACCTGCCTTTGAATCCTACTCTGTTTCCTTTTGGTTTGAAATTTCACTGTTTTTCAGCTGAGCTGATTTGGCAGCTGGCTGCCATCACAGAAAGCTGTGAGGCTGCCTTGCCCGTTGCTGCCAGGTATGTGGGCCTGCTTGTGGCCCCAGCCCTGGTGCTTTCCACACCACGCAAGACCTGCTTGGGCTTGGTAATGCAGCAGAGCATTTCTGCTGGGCTTGTAGAAGTTGATGGGGCTGATAGAGATGGCTGATAGAGCTGCAAGAAGGCAAAACAGTGCAAAAGTGGGGCAGGGAGAGGGCCGCTCAGTGGACTGCCCAATGCCAGGCTCTGCCCTTCCCAGTTCCATCCACAGCTCTGCAGCCATCAGCTTGCGTTGAACTCCACCGGCCACCACATGATGTGCCGTTAGCCCAAGAACCATTTCCCTGAAGGCCTCAGCAGGGAACCTCTTCTTATGAGTGTTTCCCCACTGACAACTGCATTTTGAGATGAGTCACTGAGTTCGTGTTTAATCCACTTGTGAAATTGGCAAGGCAATTACCATCTTCCAAGTTCTTCAAATCAAATTGTTAGTGAACATCAAATAAAATGCTTTGGAGAAATCCCAGTATATACAATTGCTTTTATCCAGACTACTCTGTCACAAGAAAAGCTTTGTTTTGTTGGGCCTATCTTCAGTGCAAGTGTGCTGCCTTCACAATGAATGTAATTCATTTTGTTCTTAGCCTATACTTCTTCGTCTCTGCTTCATTATTTTTGTTTTACTACTTGTTACCCGTAATGAGAATGAAGGAATTGCTAGCTTCCAGTTGCCACCCCTCCTTTCTCACGTTGCCAAGTACAGAAAGCATTTGCAAATGGAAGGAGTGCTGTTAGTCACGAAGCAGTTAATCAGTTCTGACAACACGGTGGTGATGAAGATCACTCTCCTGGTTCCCCTTTGTGCTCTGTGTTGGGAGGGGAGAACACAGAGCCCTCGTGTGTTAGTCATCAGGTCAGGGGGTGCAGGGCCAAGCTGCCAACAAATGACCCCAGGCAGCTTTTTGGTCTCTGCTGCTACCTGATAGAAAGCACGTTAGCTTAATTCATTTTTTGCTGCCATGCACTTGAGTTTACTCTCAGTTGGCTCCTGTTTCTTTGGTACATTTCTTTGGTACATTCCAGTCCAAACAGGACATTTGCTGTTGTTTCCTGGTATGAGGAGCTGTTCACAGAAATTTACCATACTCTTCTTTTTTTTTTTTTTTTTTTTTTATTTTTTATTTTTTATTTTTTTTTTTTTTTAAATCTCTACAGGTGAAAACAAGAGAGGAAGAACTGCATAAAGAGGACTTCTCTGCCAAACTAGGAAAGATAGAGGAATCAGTGGAGCTGAAGCTACTAGATCTTATGAACCACAGTGCTCCAAACAGAACTAAAATGCATGGATCATGCAGGCTGGTGTTTAGAAGCAAACATTCTGCCAGCAAAACAGGCTTTGGTGGGTCTGTATCTAAGGAACCCGTTCCAGCTGTCAGTGCTACAGAAGTGATCAGAGAACTGCGGATGAGAGAGGCCAGCCTACAGAGAGAGCTGAAGCAGCTGCAGGATGAGTGCAAGCAGAGGTTGGATGGAATTGCAGAGAGGTTGGATGGAGTGATTTGTATCTCTCCTTGAAGAGAGAAAGCTGGACTCAGAAGAACAAAGGAGTGGGCCTATTTGATCAGAACACACTTGTGTGGTTTGGCATGGCGGAGTGCAAGATGAGGAACCAAATGTGAGCTTTGATAATCAAGCCTGGGAACAGTGACTTGTTTCTGCTTTGTGACTTGCACTGGGGCCATAACCTTTGTGGTTCTGCCTGCAGTCTCTTTATTGCTAACCTTGCCAATTAAATTCTGCAGCAGGCCTTAGTGGGAGTGTGCTTACATCTCCCTTTTATCTTTTAGATGTTTAGTTCTTCTGCCAAGCACTGGCTCTTCCAGAATGCTCATCTGCTAGACACAGCTTTCTTTGAGGCTGCAGATTGGAGTACTAATTGCATACAACATTTTCCAGCAAGTGGAAGCATTCATTAGTCAGAAAAATCCAGGTACTGGAGAACATACAAAGCACCAAGGCTCAGAGAGATTGGGAAAGTGTGCTATTTTTAATTCTGCTGGTTTGCATATTTGTGGCAACTATAAGGCAGCCACTATAAAGAAAAACAAATGCCTAATAATAAATAAAGCTGCACGCTGACTTCATTTGCTGGTGTGATGCACTTCAAGTAATGAGGTTCTCAAAGAGAGCAAACTAGAAACCCGTTCACCAAGTCATGAGTCACAGCGCGACAACTTATGGGTCTGCTATAGGAAGTTTCTGTAAGATAAAAGTATGACCCTTGCTTCCATGCACGAGAAGTCTTCAAACTCTTATCCCTGAAGGCTTCTTTCCCTAGAATATGCAAATGCTTTTCACTTGGCATGCATTTCCTGCCCTTTTCTGCTTTGTTCTCACTAAAGAATCATAGGATGTTTATATATGCTAGCTGTATGCTTTCAGGAATAAATAAAAGGAAAAGAAAATGGTTTGATTTCACTGTGAATTGCTGTGAGCAGCAGGCTTTCCTTGGCCTGGCGTTCTGTCTGCTGTTCCAGCTCATGGTGCTGATGGCCACTCTTGGCTCCTGCCTCAGCTAAATGTGAGCAGCCTTTAAGGATCTTCCCAGGCACTGGGTGTGATTGCTGCTCTGCAGGTGGTGATGCACAGGTGGGAGCAGATGGGCAAGGCTCAGGTCTTCTGGATGCTTCAGCATCAAGTTCAGAGGCTTCCAGACCATGCTTACCTGTAGCACCTGCACATGCAGTCTTTGCTAGAGCAAGCGGCAACAGATACGTTGTTGGAGGGCTGGTTTGCCCTGTGTTCACCCATCGTGGCATGGTCAGTCTAATATGGGCCAGCTTTCAGACAAGCTGTCTCTTTCTCAGCATTTCCTATCTCCTTCAGGTTTGATACAAGGATATTTTCACGTTGCGTTGCACTTGGGTTTAAAACATTGCTCTCAGAGGATTTGTTCTCGTTGCATGTGCACCAGGGCAGGGTGGGCAAATGTTCTTTAGCTGGGGGAGAGCTCAGATTTCTTGAATCATAATCATAGAATGGTCTGGGTTGAAAAGTACCATAACAATCACCTAGTTTCAACCCCCCTGCTGTGTGCAGGATCTTGCTCGTGGTTTGCTTAGCTGGAGCAGGAGGTGATTGTCCCCTGTGCAACTGCTCAGGAAGAGTGGTGAGGCACTGGAATGGGCAGCACAGGGAGGTGGTGGGATGACTGTCTCTGGAAGTGATTAAGAGACATATAGATGTGGTACGAAGGGATATTGTTAGTGGGCAATATTGGTGCTAGGTGGGCAGTGCGGCTGGATGATCTTAGAGGTCTTTTCCAATCTTGGTGATCCTGTGATTCAATGATTCTTATCAGGATTGTCTTCATGCTGTCTGCCACAGTGCTTTGTGCTACCATCCACTTAAACTGACAGTAGAAATCATGAGCTGACTTATTTCCTAATACTGAATATCTGTCAGCACTCAGCACTTAGTGCAGTGTGTTTCAGTGTTCGTCCAAGAATCCCCTTCCAGCAGAGAGCAGAGCTGGCAGTGTGTGTGCCCCTGCTTGGCTCCAAAGAATTATTTTTCTCTTTGGTGAACTGTACAAATGATGGTGCTCTGCAGCTGCACAGACGTGCGTATAAAATTTTCACCATGAATCATAGACAGCTGCATTTATGGTGTGGCACAAATCAAAGTAACAGGCATCCATGGCCTCAAGCATGCACGCTAAGTATAAGTATTACTTCACTGAAATTGGAGAGCGTTGTAAACAACCCCCATCAGATCAAAAAGTAGAGATGTGGGCTGTATTCCCACCAGGGTGGTGTGGAGGTCACCGTCCATGGATGTGTTCCAGAACCATGGAGATGTGGCACTGAGGGATGGGGTCAGTGGGCACGATGGGGATGGGTTGGTGGTTGGATGGGATCATCTTGGAGGTCTTGTTAAGGAAGTGTTTTTAGGACTTTGCATGTGTGGTTTCCCATTAGGAACTAATGACAAAGTTTTTCATACAAGGTGGTGATGCACTGGAACAAGCCCAAGGAGGCTGTGGATGCCCCATCCCTGGAGGCATTCAAGGCCAGGCTGGATGTGGCTCTGAGCAGCCTGGTCTGGTGGTTGGTGACCCTGCACATAGCAGGGGGTTGAAACCAGACGATCATTGTGGTCCTTTTCAACCCAGGCCATTTGTAATTCTCATGCATGGAGATGTTAATAGCAAATGCACAGTTCAGTGCATTTCTCTGATGCAGTTGGTGTTTGCTTTCCCAAACTTGCTAGGAAAGCGGAATTGGCCATAAATACATCATTGGCTGGTAACTCTGGCTTGCACTACGTGGCTAGAAATATCCCTTCCCAAATAACTGAGCATCAGGCAGCTTGCAGTCAAAACAGGAGGTTTGCTTTGCAAAAGGCAAGCGAGGCATCTGCAGTCAGTGCTCCCGACAGCACTGCGCCTGCTGGTAAATAAGGGCTGCAACCTGTGTTTAAAAATAAGAGCTGCTGGGAGTAGTGATTTCCAGCGTGGAGTGTTTTGGGTTCCCTGTGGGATTCCTCCAGCAGCGCCTGCGGGAGGATGAGCTGGTGGTGGTGTGAGTGTGTCTGCCTGATCCTGCTCGCTGCTCTGCTCCTCAGCCGCTTGTGAGAAGAGATTCAGTGCTTGCCCTGTCCTCTTTTCCTTCTGTACGCAGCTCCTTTGGAGTATGGTGAGTCTGGTTCCATGTCCTGTGTCCTTGTGAGCATGGGGAGAGGAACCCAGGGCTGATGGACCCCTGCCCTGCCACCCATGAGGCTCGGGGGATGCCTGGGCAGGGAGGAAAGGCAGAGGAGAGCCTGGGTGATCTTTGAGCTCAAAAGATTTGGGCAACTACAGGCTGGTGAGCCTCACCTCTGTGCCTGGGAAGATCCTGGAGCGGATCCTCCTGGAAGACATGTTAAGGTACATGTGGGATAAACAGGTGATATGAGACAGCCAGCATGGCTTCACCCAGGGCAGATTGCCTGGCCTTGTCTGGTGTCCTTATGTGATGGAGTGACGAAGGGCAACTGATGTCATCTACCTGGACTTGTGCAAGGCCTTTGACACAGTTCTGCACCTCATCTGTATCTCTAGACTGGAGAGGTATGGAGTTGAAGGCTGGAATATTAGGTGGATAAGAAATTGGCTGAATGGTTGTAGCCAGAAGGCTGTTGTCAATGACTGTCCACGTGAAGGCCACAGATGTGTGGTGTCTCTGAGGGTCCATTGTGACCAATGCTCTTCAGCATCTTTATCAACAACTTTGATAGTGGGATTGAGTGTATCCTCAGGAAGATTGCTGATGACACTAAGGTGAGTGGTGCAACCGACACGTTAGAAGGGGGGGACACCATCCACAGGGATGTGAACACGCTCAAAAAGTGAGCACAGGAGAATTGAATGAGGTTTGACAAAGCCAAGTGCAAGGTGATGCATTTAGGTTGAGGCAATCCCAGTTAAGAGTACAGAGTACTCATTGAGAGCAACCCTCAGGGCCAACAATGGCAGCAAAGGCACCCGGACAATAAAACTCGATGGCAAGTTATTTACTTGGCATTGCTGTGTCTGCCAAAAACAATATTAATTTTGCCTTTCAATGAAGGGAACGCTCTGCTGATTAGCCACAGGGGCAGCATTTGTTCGGGAAAGCAGCTTTAATGGGTCTGTACATCATGCTGTAACTCATAGTGCCAGGCAACAGGAGCTCCTGTTGCATGTGCGTGGCTGTGGCTGTGGCTGGGGGGGGATGGCTGCACTCCAGGGCAAGAAAGGAGCGATGGGGTTCTGGCTGCTTGGGGTAAGCTGTGCTCCATTGTGCTGGGAGGTGGTGATGCACCTTAGGATTTGTCTGCAGCCCCCACTGCTCTGAACGTCCCTCAGCCTCACTGCATGTCAAATGGAACGGACTATCAAAATGGATTAGGCTCTCAGCAGTGTGTTTGGTGAATGAAGCTCTCACCTCCAGATGTTCATCTGTGCTAACGGTGCTCAGGACTGTGCTGGAGAGGAGGGGACCTGGGGATCCTGCTCTGCTGCAAGCTGAGGTGCAGAACCCTCCTTGCATGGGTCCCTGGAGGCATGGGCTCTGTGTGGGGTTTGGGTGCAGATCTCTGGGGCCTGGGAATGGTTAAAGTCATTTGGCTCTGGGCTTGCTACGCAATTAGTCATTGGGGTAGCGCAGCTTGATGTCACTGCTGTTTCCATGGTGATGGGAACAAGCAGGGAGGAGTGTGTGGATGAGAGCATCCCCAGCCCAACACCATGGGTCTGGTCTGGGAGGAGCGCGGTGCACGGTGGGGTTTGGGGCCACCCTATCATAAACGTCCCCATCAGCTGGTCCCACAGCCCTAGTCCTGGCCCCTTGTTGGCTGCCAGGCATTGCACAGAAATGATGGCAGAAAAGATAGTAGATGCAGGGCAGAGGCATTGTCCCAGTGCTGGTGCCAAAGAATGGATTCCTATGTCCTACAGCCTGCAAGGAGAGAGACATGACAACCCGCTTGTTAATGACAAATGCCATTAGACATGATATGAAATACACGGCCAGGTGAATTATGGCCTGGCCTGGGTCTGATTTACAGCACACCAGTTACTGCAGGCTATTTATTCTACTTCTACCTAAGTGCCAGGTTAGCCTGCTGCTCCTCCCAGCTGCACAATGCAGCCCTTGGAGGAGCAGGGCCAGGAGCTGTGTGCATGCTGGGGCACCCTATGGCACCCTGCTGTGCCCTACTCACATCGCAGGCAGGTGTCGGGGTCGGTCTGCTGCTCTTCCACTCACTGAGCATCGAGATCTAATTCGTGTTGAGGGCAAACTTAGGGAGCTGGTGGAGAGCGTCTGTCGGAGAGGTACAAGGAAGGGACCAAGCATAATGCAATTGCTTCATTTGAAGCAATTAGAGCGGAGCAAAACCATGTTTTTTCTAAACGGATTCAATATTGGTAAGTGATGCACGGCTGCTTTTTGTTAGTGCAGAGTCGAAAAGCAATTTTCCCGTGTGCTGGGGCCAGCATGGAAGTCTGACATGGGCCACGGTGGGGATTCCCAGCCTGCATGGGGATGAGCTCCAGCTCCCAGCACTCCTGGAACCAGCACTGGGCTGTCCGAGGTGTGAGCTGTTGGCCTCAGCCAATTTGTGCCCAGCCAAAAACTAGAAATTAAGCTTTATTAGTCTAAATACGGCTGTGTTTTCAACAGCCCACTAACCTTTTCCTCTTTAATCTTTGCTTATGTCTTAAAAAATCCACTTTCAGTATAAGACTGTCAAATTTAATCCTTTTTAAATATCCTTTTCCCTGGTGAGGCAGCAAGATTTCCCAGGCAGCCCTGAAAGTTGCAGATAAGATTTTGCTGGAATAAGACATCCAAATTAAATGAAGTCTGTATTTAGAGCAGCCTTTTGGGGAGTATCCCACTTTGTCTGTGTTTGTCTGCAACTTGCAAGCATGTTTTTTTT